TAAAAAGGATGCAACTATGGGTTGCGCGCCATAAAAAGTGGTTCATATTTGAGCAAGTTTTTAGTGAATAATATTCGCAGTTATATCTTTAAATTAATTAATTATAAAAATACATTTCGTAATTAATCTGAAGGTATTTATTTAGTATCATAAATATGGATATTTTTATATATATAATTGGTCAAACTTAAGGTACTAAAACGTGACACTGTGCTAGAATTGCATTCATTTGGGGACGGAGGTAGTACTATATAAAGATTATACTGATATTTACGAGGATAATAAGTACCATTATTAATGGAGATGTATTTTTTTTAAATATATTAAAACTTTAGAAGATACAAATAAAGTATTTTTTTATATAAATCTAGTTATTTCTTTTTAAAAACTTGGCTCCTTTTTTTTCTTCTATTGGCTGAGTGCTACCTATCGGCAACCGGATGGTCGATAGCCCTATCAGCCCGATATAGCCCAACGCAGCCCTCTCCGGAGCCTTATCGGCTCCTCGACTGCCGATAGGTACTGCTACCTGGCTGATAGCCCTATCGGCCAGCGGATGGTCGATAGCACTATCGGCCCGATATCGCCCAACGCAGCCCGCTCCGGAGCCTTGTCGGCTCCTCGACAGCCGATAGGTACTACTACCTATCGGCCAGCGGATGGCCGACATGCCTATCGGCCTGATACAGCCCAACGCAGCCCGCTCCGGAGACTTGTCGGCTCCTGGACTACCGATAGGGGTATGTCGGCACGCCACAGCCAGCTCTGGAGCCTTGTCGCCTCCTGGGCTGCCGCTAGGGGTATGTCAGCACTCCATAAGCCGATAGGACTTGTAATTCTTTCTCGCTCGCTCCACTCGACTCGTCGCAAGCACCAACGCGTCCAAATAACATGTACAAAATTCTTTTCAAAGTGCAAACATCGGTGGTACCTTCTAAGGATGAAAATGGAATACAAATCGAAATCGCCTGTGCGCACATTATCTTCTCCTCGAGCAACAGACGACACCCACGAGAGAGAGTTATCCCGTGCATTTAGGTGGGCATTTCAACACCCGTTTAGATCATAAGTTCATAACTGGATTGTTATAATCTGGATTATCCATAGGATTATCGCAATCAAGATTATAATTATAAGAATTAGAGTCTTCCCTAGATTATGATTCTTCATTACAGTTGGTTAAAGTGAGAAATTTCTATCTTATCATTTAGTTTGGCAGGTTGGACAATCGATTAGGGGGCAAGTTAGACTTTCAGCATACATAATCATCTAAAACCTGATCTCACATGGATTATGGGATTTATGGTAATATGGGGTTTTGATTGTAGCAACCCGTCACATAATTAATCATGTTTGGATACAAATTTGATTACATATTGTCATAATCACGGATATCCAAATAGGGTCTTATAGTTACCCAAACAAAAATAAGGTAACATACTTTCGGGTTTTGTAACGCTCCTTTTATCAGGTACCACAGTGTTCTTCCAATAAAGCTCTCCCGTTCGGGAAAAAAAGTTCAAATTCGAAAATCGGATCCCCCCACCACACACACACCTAATTACCCGCACGAACGCTCCGAAAAAACCATTCCACGTGTCCCTGCCACGCGTCGGCCAGCATGGCGCGGCCACCCATCCGCGCGCCCACGCTCCGGGTCTACGTGCGCCGGGGAACACGACGCGGGAGAGCGTGGCCATCGCGGCCACGGTCCATGCAGGGCCGAGTCCTTCTGTGCTTGTGGGCGTCATCTAGTTTTGGGCTTTTGGGCCGCCGGCGTGAGGGCGCAGGCTAGGCCAGGCGAACCAACCAACAAATTGTGCTGCTGGCTGCTGTTGCTGATGGACGGATAGAACGAGAGCCCGTCAGACCACGCGTGGAACTGGGAACGGAATGCAACAACGTTCGTCGTCATCTTTTCTTTCGTGTAAAGAAAGGGCCTTGTGGCATCTTGTTTACGCACGCTGGGCGCCTCTGTGTGCTTTTACGATACACCTATGACACGAGATCTTCCTAGGTTAAATCACGAAAAGGATGCGACTATGGGTTGCAGCGCCATGAAAAGTGGTTCATATTTGAGCAAGTTTTTAGTGAATAACATTCATAGTTATATCTTTAAATTAATTTATTATAAAATATATTTCGTAATTAATCCGATGGTATTTATTTGGTATCATAAATATGGATATTTTTATATATATAATTGGTCAAACTTAAGATAGTAAAACGTGACACTGTGCTAGAATTACATTCATTTGGGGACGGAGGTAGTACTATATAAAGAATATACTGATATTTACGTGGATAATAAGTACCATTATTAATAGAGATGTATTTTTGTTAAATATAGTAAAACTTTAGAAGATACAAATAAAGTAATTTTTTATATAAATCTAGTTATTTTTTTTAAAGTTGGCTCCTTTTTTTTTTCTATTGGCTGATCTTATGATAAGAACTTTCTACATGTATGTTTTATTTCCCCTAATTCTAATTGGGTGGGGTATAAAGGAATTTGCGCTCTTCGTATTCCCATATGGCTGGATAGTAATTTCGAGTGATATACTTCTTATCTGTTTTGGTGAGAGATTGAAATGATTTTTAGCAGGCATCTCTTGGAAAAACTTTCGAGTTCAAAACTTTTAATTTTTCGAAACAAGATATGCAACTATTTTAAGGCAGAAGGAGATATGTCTTAAGGTTTGGTTGTCACCAAGCCTACCTAGTAGTTTGTAACTTTGCTTGGGCGCAAACAGTTTACTTCCTCTCGGATGAATCATGCGATTCATATGAAGTGGATGAGAATTTATAAAAATCTAAAACACGCGATGCCTAGATTTAGCAATGTCTAAAATTGCAAGCATGGCAAAATGAGGCAATAGCTTGTTTGTCCATTTTCCATGCACGTAACATATTATCGTCACATGATAACTTTTTCCAGAGACAATAATGATAATGGAGTGCCATACACTTATTTAATTTTTATATATAGACTAGCAAAAGTGCGTGCATTGCAACAGGAGGAAAGGTATAAGCGTCATCTGAAGTTTTGATATCTATGTGTTGTTTTGTCTCAAAAGCTATAGTTTTCATTTACATCGTTATATTTTTATTGCACTCCACGTTATGCTAAAAGCGTATATACATAATTTTGACTCAATATGTTTTCTTCTACTTAAGTAATCAATTCCATATATGCCATAGCGCAAGGAGATCACGAACCACTTCCACTTTCAATTATACCATCAAAGATCAACAAAATATATAGTGCATAAACACTTCATCGTGCAAATTTTGTTAAAGTCAAGACCAATAGCACATAATTAATCAATGGAAAACATAGTAACCTATCTTTTCTTTTCTTTCTTTTTTTTATTTTTTTCTC